CATCTTTTACACCAGTTGCTTTCATTAAACCTTCAAATGGTCTGGCCAAATTATGTGGAAGCTGATAAAGGTATGGAGAACAATCCACACCCAACTTGAAAGCCACTTGCTCTGCATAAACAAATTCTTCTCCACAGAGAATGAACTTCTTTCCACCAAAACTCTCTCTCAATTGCTCAGTTTTGACTTCTTCATTGTCAAGGGCTTTTTGTAGATATTTGTACGCTGCCAAGCACACTTTGTTTAGCTGTTGGGATACCAGTATTTCAAGACTGCTGGCGTTTATCGACGACGCAACATCAAGTTGGGATGCAACATGGTTCAGTGTGGCCTTCTTTTTGTCTAAATACAGGAACTTTTGAACAACTGTTGGCATATGTTGATCTACTATTGGCTCAGTGCAGCAAACTAAGTATTTCTCGCTCTCTAAAAAGGACTCCTTGGGTGACAGCAATGTTACCTTGTTTCCAGTCTGAATTTCATCTCCTTTCCATCGGAGAGGAAACTTGTAAGGTTTCTGAAGTAAGGGTAGAAATTTTGCTTGTAAGATTCTGTTACGGACATCATCGGGGAAAGAACTTTCCTCTTCACGCCACAGCTTCCATTCTAGATGATCCATCAATGCCTTTACGCGCTTCAAAGCTGCTTCTCCACTACTTTTATTTAAAATGCTCACACTATGTGCTCTTTCCACAACTTCTGGCCATGGAAGATCATCCGTTAACATCCCAAGCTGCTCAAGTTTGGCCAATCGCAAACTGTTTAAAAAGGTTTCTTCTGTGCCAAATGGAAACCTCTTGTCCTCGGGGCTAAAGAGAGATGCGGCAGTTTTGTACGGATTAATAAGTTGGCCCGGGCACTTCAACTTGTGGCCATCCGGTGAAACTGGAATGCATTCATGTGATTTAATGAGATAGTCGAAGTCTCCGTCGTTTTTGTCGTGTTGAGCGCACAAATCTAGAACGTACAAGACCAACGTGTCCCTCTGGTGACTTGGTACCAGCTGAATGTTTGGAAAGAACAGCTCGCGGAAGAACCTTCCCTTGTCGTAGCTTCTACCCTGGATTACTGCTGCGAGATCATATTCTAGAAAAGACTCGTACACATCTGCTGGTAGATCAATGATGGCTTCCTTCCCCTTTTTCAACAAGTGAAAAACCTCAAATGACATATCTCCTACTTGTGAGTCTTGGCGAAAGTTTGGTTCCAGAAAGGCTACTTGCGTAATGTCTACCCATCTGTTTCCATCTGAAAAGAGAGAACAGCTTCCACTAGCGAGATTTTGATACAATGAGCGTGCAAGCGGCTGACAGTTTGGTTCTACTTGACAAGATTTTGGCCATAGTGAGTGGAACTTGTATTTGTCCGTAGGTGTCGTCTTCAAGTCCTCAAGGAGATCTAGATATGCTGCACAAATGGAGTCTTGCATGAGAAGATTGTTCCACTCTACTCCAATGCAGCTCTTGTCATCAGCTGTTTTCTCCTTCAAGCTTCGTCTACTGGCGGCTACTGCAAATGCCCCATTTACGTGCACTGGGAAACCACTGTGGATTGGAAGCGGAAGGAAGCAGAAAAGGTTTCCCTTATGATGCGGCTCTTTCGTCGGTATTTTTTCGACAACCGGTACTGGCAGAAGCTTCTGACAGTCGTCAGGCATCATCCGAGCAGCTACTCCAGCTGATGGAAGAAGACTCTTATCACCTTTGGCAAATTGCATTGCGTTCCCTTTGCCCATAGAAGACGCAACAAGCCAAACTTCACATTCATCCTGCAAGTGGCCATTGTTGTCAAGGAACGATTTTCCGCTATCTGTAACGGTGCTCTTAATGGTAACCATAAGTGCCGAGCTGAGCAAATCAGTATTAGAGCTGATGGAATCTCCTGTTTGCTTGGCAACTTCAGATGATGCTCGCAGAAAGTTGCACTGTTTTAGAAAGTTCTGTTCTTCATTACTAAGGCTCCTAACAGCTGGGGAAAGAGTGACTGGGACAGACAATTCTCTTAAGATTCCGTCTTGATGCAATGCTTTGCTGACCTCAAACAACAGTGTGGGTTGTTCAGAACTAGCTGATTCCCTTGGCAAACGAAACACTTGAATCCTGCGGACATTCTGTGTAAAGAGCAGCAAGGTTTTAGCGCCATAAGTGAAAAGCCTTAAGAGTTCTTCCACTTGTTTGTTGTCGTAATGAAGTTGCTTAATTTCACTTTGTATAGCTTGCTCTTTGGTTCGTAAAGGAAAGCGAAAAAGTGTTCCATGAAAAGAGTTGTCCTCTTTTTCTAGACGAAGGTCACAGTCAAATATGCCGTTGAAGGGTTTAAATTGATTGCTAAGATTTCTCAGCCTCCTTGTGTTCCTGTTGATGTCTATCTTCATTCCAGGTTTGTTTTTGTTCCTGATTGCTTTCCCCAGATAGAAAGTGTTGGGGTCAAAAATCACAAAATAATTCCTACTCACGAACATTGGAACATCCGTCAGGTTGTACACTGCATTGAAGCCGAGTCCAAACTTTCCAATTTTCTCGGTGTCGGATTCTTTTGTAGCACCGTTCAGTTTTGTAATGTTTGTAAAATCTTCGTCTCGAAACTCGGCATCGTTGTAAACCCACAGTGCAGGACCCTGGCAGTGTCTCATTCCTTCGTCAATCAGGCAGGTCATGGCATCTTCGTTTGTTCTCTCATCATAAAGAAATCTGATTTCGGTGGCACCAGCATCATCTGCGTTTTGTACAAGTTCTTTTGGTACCGCGAATCCATCGGTGTAGTCTTCCAAAAGTCTGCCAAGTCTGCGAGTTAGTTTTTCTTCTTGCCCAAATTCTTCTCCTATTTCCAGTTCGTCCGGCTCTAGCATTCGATTCATGAGCGTTGGTACAAGCAAAAGTTCAGCTGTGCTATTCGGGATGTTTGGATGTACATACATATAATCCATCCCTTCATCATGGTTGCTTCTTTCCAACCACTCATGTTCACAGTACATGCAATCTTCAACTGGTGCAAGCTTGAGATACGTATCTCTTTCCACGTGTGTTGGAATTAGAACCTTTTCTTGAAGCGTAGAAGGCAATTGTTCACCAACNAGCGCCATGAGTGAAGAGCCCTAAGAGTTGCTCCACTTGTTTGTTGTCGTAATGAAGTTGCTTAATTTCACTTTGTATAGCTTGCTCTTTGGTTCGTAAAGGAAAGCGAAAAAGTGTTCCGTGAAAAGAGTTGTCCTCTTTTTCCAGACGAAGGTCACAGTTAAATATGCCATTGAAGGGTTTGAACTGATTGCTAAAATTCCTCAACCTCCTTGTGTTCTTGTTGATGTCTATCTTCATTCCAGGTTTGCTCTTGTCCCTGATTGCTTTCCCCAGATAGAAAGTGTTGGGGTCAAAAATCACAAAATAATTTTTACTTACGAACATTGGAACATCCGTCAGGTTGTAAACTGCATTGAAGCCGAGTCCAAACTTTCCAATTTTCTCAGTGTCGGATTCTTTTGTAGCACCGTTCAGTTTTGTAATGTTTGTAAAATCTTCGTCCCGAAATTCGGCATCGTTGTACACCCACAGTGCAGGACCCTGGCAGTGTCTCATTCCTTCGTCAATCAGGCAGATCATGGCATCCTCGTTTGTTCTCTCATCATAAAGAAATCTGATTTCTGTCGCGCCGGCATCGTCAGCGTTTTGTACAAGTTCTTTTGGTACCGCGAATCCATCGGTGTAATCTTCCAAAAGTCTACCAAGTCTGCGAGTTAGTTTTTCTTCTTGCCCAAATTCTTCTCCTATTTCAAGTTCGTCTGGCTCTAGCATTCGATTCCTGAGCGTTGGTACAAGCAATAGTTCAGCTGTGCTGTTCGGGATGTTTGGATGTACATACATATAATCCATCCCTTCATCGTGGTTGCTTCTTTCCAACCACTCACGTTCACAGTACATGCAATCTTCAACGGGTGCAAGCTTGAGATAGGTATCTCCTTCCACATGTGTTGGAATTAGAACCTTTCCTTGAAGTGCAGAAGGCAACTGTTCTCCAACGTTTGGCTTAACTTCATTCAGAATATCCACCGATAATTGGAGGTCTTTCTTCACTTCTGATGTGGAAAATTGTGTGCCATTGTCATACTTCTGTTTGATCAAATGCAGAACCTGAAGTAGGAATGCGTCATCACACTGTTCTTGCAAGCCAAAACTAGACAAAAATGCAGAGAAATGTTCCACTTCTGAAGGAAGGGAGCGGACGTATGGTGACAGATCAATAGGCGGTTTCTTGGATAACATCAGATCAGGAGAGGAAAATCCATCTCCATTCCAAACCCAGGCCAGACTTTCAAGGCCACTCAATGCCACCTTTACGTTAGCCTGATCTGCATGACTTAGACACTGATATATTTCCTTGATTATCATGATATAACGCGGCTTTTCATCTGTGTTGTAGGAACTGATCACGTTTCTGAGATGCTGCACGACGTCGACTACAGTTGGCTTCGTATTCCAGGAAAAGAAATTGGCTACCTGATAAGGTGACTCTGTTTTAACCACTGGTTTTACAGATCCGATGAGATTTGCCAGTTGATCGCTCTTCACTTCTGACGGCTTCTGGAAATGTGATTCGCTGTACGTTTCTCCCCAAAACGTAAGTCTTCGCGGATAATCGCTGGGTTTTCCTCTAACCCTGGATACCCATGAAATGTCTTGAAGCAGAAATCCCAATGACGTTCCACAAGTGTTCTCTTGAAGCTTAGAAGGATTCTGTGTTATGTATTGCATGATCGCTTCTGATTTTCTTTCCGCTGTTGAAAGGCTTGAAATGTTGCTGACCGCTTTGGCACTTTGGTAGAGGTCTTGCCCAGTGATATCACCTTCGCCTTTCATTCCTAGAGTTTCCAAAATCACTAGGGCTGCAGGGTCGTTGTATCGTTCTCCCGTAGGAAAAACGTCTTCCTCGGCGAAAATACGCCTCAACAAGTCCTTCCTGGGATCGAATATCTGCATAGGCTTTACTCGTCTACTTTTGATTGAGACAAACGGCAAAGATTTTAACTTCTCTTTAAATCTCCAGTCGGCACCAGCGTAGACTTGATAGTGCTCCAGCACAAAGACCATAAGTCTGTCGATCTCTTCAGCAGAATAAAAGCCTTCTTCCACACCTGGAAATACCTCCTCGATGAAAAATTCATGCGATGCGAGTATTCCGATGTCCATTAGCACTACCAATCGCTTGGAAGCGTCTTCTTTGATGTCAATGAGATCCCTCCGGGGAGCCACCGGAAACGACTCTTCAGGGGCGGCACGAAGACCGTTTTCCTTCGACACAAAAGTCTTGAATAGAGTCTCAAACAAAGGAAAGCTATAGAGAACATGCTTCTCTTCCGGTTCTAGCGAAGAGGCTTTGGCAATGAACCTTCTCAAGGAGCGTTTGCCGTGGTCAGTTACTTTATGCATTCCAGTCGCCATCTCGGGGAGAGATGCCGCCAGAGCTCGTAAGACACCTTTAACTGATGGTGGATGGACAAAGGCATTCGCTAGCGCAGGATGGAGGCGTAAACATTCCGGGTTCTCCTGCATTACAGTCAGACCAAGCACTTTCAAAACGTCAGTGACGTTCTCATCAAGATGATCTCCGTGAAGGCTTCTTACAACTATCCTAGATGGCTGCGTAAGTCTTGTTAAGGTGACCGGCACTTGTGACATGTCGAGTGGGAGCAACGGAAGGTTTCGAAGCCTTTTAAGCTCGTCAATGGTAGGAAAGTTTTTTCCGAGATAGTCCCACACAAGATTAAGCCATTCTTTACGGGGATGGTTTCCGATTCCAGGATTCCACGTTACTTTGTCCCCCGCTGACCACTCAGGTGGCAGAGATTTTGAGAGAAGGTTGGCTACATCGTTTTTACAAAGGTGGCGTAACTGAGTGCATCCTGTGAAAAATGGAACGAGAATCCTGTAACTGTTTAACTATTTAGTTACGTAGTCTCTGTAAAAGGCCCTTTTCGGTTCGGAAATAAAAGGTATAGTTTTCTTTAAGCTGTTCAAGAAAAATTAAATAGCGAAGAATTTTAGGAAGTGTCTAGAATGATATCGTGTGTTTTAATATTGATTCCTTTTAAATCACACCTGTTAATAGAAGATTCAAAATTTCAGCAAAATAACAATATAATTTGATCGGGTTTTCCTATTCTGATCAGTTGTAATCCCCTTTTAGTCTTGTGGTATTGTACACTTTCCACAAAATAATAATAATGGGGCGTAACCCTGCGATGCAGTGAGAAGAAGAAATTCTATCGTTCTATCCAGGAGGAAGTAAAAATACTCCTACAGTCGGTTCGTGCTACTGAAACTCGGACAAACTTTGGTGAAATGGACCCCTTAGCCCGATGAAGTCGTTGCCCTGACCTCAAAATTCCACCTTTTTCATGAATGAAAGAAATTTACTTTAGATATTGAGTGTAATTCCAAGATGTAGTAGAATTAACACGGATCATATCTGTACCTTGATTGGAAACTGCTTGCAAGCTTTGGAAGAGGCTATCGTCAATGTCTTGATCCAGAAATCGATCCTGCAGGCCAGGAAGAAGTTCACGTGGATGCTCTGGCGAGCAGATGTATATAGCTTGATCGGTGTTAGAAAAAGAAATAAAGCGTCCATTGGTAACGGGCAACAGCTCTAATCCGAGGAGGTCTGAAAACTGCTCATCTTTGAGCACAAATTTTAGAAGCTGAATCTTCTCTAACCGACTGAGGCTTCTGTAGCAAGAAGGCGTTTCTCTGAACACTCTCCGCGTTATTGAGGGCGTTATCTCGGTTCTTAAGTTTGCGTACAAACCCAAGGCTCTCAAAACGTGATCCGGCAAAGTGGCGACGTTCTGATTCGCTACAAGAAAAACTCGCACAAGCAACTCTTTAGGATCGTTCTCTGGAAGTTTGTCAAACGTCGCGTCTTCCACGTTCAACCATTTACCTCCGTGGGCAGGAGAATAAACGACTCTTTCATTACACAGCAACTCCAACAAAGGATTCTGCACTCTTTTCCACTTTTGATCAATGACGTTCATATTTGGCCACGCTCTAGGTGTAAAGAAATACAATAAAGTAATTCAATTAGAAAAAAAGAAGAAAAAAATCGTTCCATTGTCAATGACACAGCCCGCACGAATTTTCCAATCAGCGTGCACTATTCTTTCCCAGCTCTGCGTTTTTAAGCCGGTATTGGGTGCGGGTTTTGTTTTCGTTGTTAACCTCGTGATCTGTATCTTAAAGAGTCGTTGGAATAAACCAGCACGCGCAAATTCAATTACCTTAACAAAGAGAAGAAAATTATTAAGTGCTTGTCCCAAACACTATTACCGCATATCGGAAAAATCATTCAGCGTATTACACAAGTTGCGAAACCTCAAAAAAGGAGGAAATGATGGGGCAAAAGTGTTTTGGAACGTGCCTGGATACGGATTGGCAGCCAAACGTTTGATCAAAGCTTGAGACACTCACGACAAGTGCAACTTAAACAGTTTAGTCTTACTTGTAAATCGCATCTGGTTGGATATTATAACTCTTCTCTTTAATAGCTTCCATCAGCATCGTAGCATACGCTCTTGGGATGGCCTCTTCCAGAAGACACTGGTTCCATAACAGGGATTTGTCAGTCAGCTGCCGCCCTTCCTTTTGAGCCAAATCCTCTTGCTCAGCATTCGGAGTCTTAATATAACGTCTGTTCTGGCTCAAAGCAAAGAATCCATTGATGTGTACTGGTAAACCTGTCATGCTCGTCTTTTGCACAGGCAGTGGGAGGAAACAAAACACGTGCCCTTTAATATCAGGCGTCTGGTTTTCGGAGGGTTCTGGTATCGGCATGGCCACACCAACTAAAGGTAGATAGCTGAGATCTTTATCCTTGGCCAGGGTTTCAAATTCTGACGAGACGCTTCCGCCACAAAAATAATTTGTAACAAGAAAAGAGTGCCGATGTGTGTCGCTTATCATACCTTGGTCATAAGCAACCGTCTCGATCGTGACTGGATATGTCACCTTGACAGGCTCTGGCATAAGCTGACCGGTCGTGATCTGGTTGCGAAATTCTTCCCTCTTTCTGCGAACCAGCGGGAGGCTGTCATCTGTGATTCTGACTTGAAACGTTCTTCTGGCTTCATTGTCCGCCACGTCTCGGACGTAGAGCTCTATCGATTCGAGATACTGGAGAAAAAGGAGGACCAAGTGGGCATCAGCCGTAAAACTCTGAAACAGTGTGCGCACCTTTTCGACGGAGTAAAGCGTCTGTGACAGCTTGGACGGTGCTGTCCGCAGAGGAAAACGGAACAACGTTCCATTATAAGTTCCCTTGGAGAACGCATCATCTGTACAGTCGAAGATTCCTTTGTACGGTAGGAACTGGTCCGGTATGCTGTCCATCACTGCACGGTCTTCCTTCAATCGCCATCGGTGTCCAGTTCGTCGGTCCTTCCCGCCGCCAAAGTACTCCTCGTGCGGATCGATCACTCCAATCTGTGAGCCACTTAAGATGCTCGGGAGATCTGAGATCAACAGAAGGAAAATTTGTCCAAAAAAATTTCACGTGGTGAAAAAAAAAAAAATTTCAGCTTGTCGGGACAATTTGGCAAAAAGTGTGCGTTGCTCTTTAAAGGGTATGAACCCATGCAAATGCATAACGTTACATTTCTCTCCTTAATCTGAGAATAAAAAAAGAGATTGGCCATCTCCTGTTCATATGACGTAATGTACACATGGAAAATCTTTTCGATCCCTCGAACGTCCATGCGAAGGTACATCGAAGTTCAATGAACCTACCTGAGTTTCCTCGATTTTT